ACTCCTAACCGATTGTATTCCGTTTTTGCTTCCCCTTAACGAGACAAGAAAAACACCTAGGAAACGAGTGATTGTTTTTTCCTCTTTTGTTCTGTCTTTATGATTTTTCTCATTATGTTTCACTTTCGATATTTTTTTTTTATTCCATTGTCGATGTTTTCGTTGGAAAACAAAGGAAGTAGAGAAGTTTAAAAGATAAAGGCGAAAACAGTTCGTGTCGATGCGCCAAGAGGCTGGGGTTGAAATATCCGCTTGTTCCAAAATTCAGGTGGCCAACTAAGCTTTCGGCACAAATGACACGTTTCGATTAGCGTCTCATAAGAATATCTATTAGACTAACGCCTTATTTCAGCCCTATCTATATTAGACTAAGCGCTATGAAAAGAATATATACATACTGTGGTTTTGTTAGCCGATGGGGCTGGTGTACCAGATAGGCCAATCATAGTTTTTAAGGAACCGCTCGTCAATCATTGGCTTAACAGCCAAGCACGATTCGACTCACACACACAAACATTCACAAGCAGATCGAAGTAAAGTTAGAATAGAGGCTTGCCATTGCTTCTATGAAATCTTTCTGTGGCCCAGTTAACGTCGATAGTAAAATGAGCACGCGAACTCTTATGACGCTGTCCACTTGTCGTTACTTGTTTCCTGTCTCGCACCTGTAAATCAATTCCTTAGTTCCTAAAACGTCTTGGATGTTTTCGGTGGTCGGCTTTGACGGGTTCATTCCAATAGGCCAAGTGGAAAGGATTCGGGGCTAAACAAAGACGTTACTAACATTCGCCTCCACTTCGCGTTCTTTTCTCGGCCCGCCTCCGAACAGATACCTATTTTGGAGGTACCTGGAACCAGAGCTATTTTGGAGGCAGAAGTGGCTGTAAGAACAACAACAACAACAACAACAACACGACACGACGGCCATTTCCAGCTGGACAAATAACGTGACCTAATAGCCACGGTGTTTAGTGAAGGCGATCAACAAATAGAAATTGGGTACAACAAGTAAAAAAATTGTATGAATACTGTTGCTAATGGCGGTCGAAGCTGAGGGACAGTAACATCCTAGTCCAGAAACATAACACGTGATCCGAAATGCATCGAAAACTTGCGGTAATAGGTATATATAGAATCTGGTAGCTTCACCGGCATAATAATTGCTATCATTAGCATTTTCTGATACTGTTATTAAACGAAGCACAAGTCACAACAGCTCTGTGATCAGAAAATGGAATAGGGTCCATTAGTTGATTGGGTACAAGATGTTGGTAGGCGTAGAAGACACGGCAACAGAAGTTTACACGTATTTTTCGATAGTGTGGATGCGTTGGCGTACTATCTTTCGTGACTGCTAATAGCCGAAGAAGAGTTAACGCCTATAGAAATCAGAGACGTATACTCCGAAATTCAGAAAAATCCTACAGGTACAAAAAGTATTCTAATACCGTCAGTTTTTATTCTAAATCGGAGATGTTACTTTAAATCAGCTAACAATTTACACATGTTCATTTGTACTGTGCCGTCAGGCGGTGCGAGCAATGAACGGAGATCATTAGAGGGTAGAGTTCAGGTCGCTCTTTGAAAAACTTCTCGTATCGAGCGAGCTAAACATGTAACTGTATTGACATGGAGCAAGAGCTGTTATAGAAATATTAAGGTGTTCCATCGAAAACCGGCCCGACGTTGAGAATACACGACGGCCATATTCGATCGTTTCGTAAATAGACGCAATCATTCGTTCAGCTTGAATCGCTAGCGGAATCAGGGACGGTCCTTTGCAGCGATCTATTCAGTTTATCTGCCTTAAGTAACACTTAAATAATAGAGATCTCTCTATAACTGTGCTAATGATAGAAGTCATCATTAAATAGTGCATTTTATATTCCACCACTGAGAAACGGATCTGTAAGAGCTCTTGACTAAAATGAAGCAAGCGGGAGCCCTCAGTGTACCTCAGCTAAATTTAGTATTCCTCAAACAGAGTGGAGAATTTAATTGAAAATAACAATGCTTCACATTTCAATGAAAATACATGTGGAAACAAACTTTCCCTCGGCAAAACATAGTCAATCAAGGTTCATCGATGACTATTTACATATATATTCTATTTTGTTACTAACGTGTGTGACACGGCTCGGTCTGAGTAAACGGAGTTCTCGAGATGGACCCAACCAAATTGTAACGTTGACAAAACTATTTCAGTATGATTATTATTATTATTACTAGAAATAACTGTTTTCACTTATCAGGTTCGGAAGTTATGGATATTCTAGGGACGCACTAGTTTCAGCTGGGCACCTTAATGGTTCATAGTTGACATCGATGCGTGCGAACAATTGGGCTCTTTACGCAAACCCGAACGGCCACACCAGCTAGCGATTTTTAACGTCCGATATACGAACGGATCGTAGCCTACGTTAGTAAACGATACCCACGTATAATCCTAGGGTGGAAAATTATATTTTTAAGCTGCAGGTAGCCTATTAAAGGCGAGAGTACGTATGCGCATTCTGGCCTGGAGGATGGCGGCTCGTTGATCTATTCACTAAGCAAGTACGTAACAATAACACTGGTAATACTTACGATGCTGTTGAAACGAAGTACGAACACTGCAGCAACTATCGCTAGTAATTTTACTGCCATCTGGCAAAAAACATCTGGTAAACGAGACATTATCCATCTTTTTATTGGCACCATTTTTTGAGAAGGTATATTTTTGGGCATGTCTGAAATGAGCTCATCAATATGGCTATTTATCAAAGCAATAAAGACCTATGATCAATGCCATAAGCACATCTTCTATTCTCGTGCTTGCGCAAATAACTTGTTCGGTGGTAACTGCCGTTCAATTTGTGCTGGGGATCCAAACCGTTATTAATCAACTTTCTTATTGAGTCACTGGAAACTAGCGCCCGGTACCATACAATAGCGTAATCGGTAGCTGGCCAGTAATCAGTTGAAAAACCTTATGTGAATCCCCTAGCAAAATGATTATAGCGTTCCGTTCTTCACATTTCTAGAAGTATGTCCATCTTGGAAACATCGATCATTGCTTTCTCGATCTTTGAAGGATAGACAGATGAACGCGACTCGAACGAACACGAGAAGATCAACGCGTTCGATTCGCGACATACGTAACGTAATGCACTAGATATGATATTTATACCCCGTCATATTGAGCGCAAGATACGACGTCCTGTGCGATTCCGAACTTAACCGTACCATAATTTTCCTTGGATTCATCTCGGCAATCAGCGCGAACTTTGCATTGTGCTCAGTACCTACTACGATCCAAAGGACTTTTGCGTTCCTGTATAACATACAGATCGAGTCGACGGCTCCGGCAATGTTGATCCTGCTCGTATAAGCATTAGGATCGACTTAAGAAGACCATAAAACTCCGTGCAGGTCCAAAACGGTCACGAATACATCCGTGTTGAAGTATAAACTCGACGTGAAGGTAGACGTACTGTATGACCATATGCATGATGAAAATCTCATTGAAGAAATTAGCTGTCAGGACGTCGTGACACGAAGCAGCTCAGATGCATAAAACAGGCCACGAAGAAAATATACAGCTTTCTTTCAATGCGAAACTCTCGGAAGCTAGAAAGGATTAATAGGATCAACGCTTTGTGCTATGCACCCGTATTATCAGCGTATATATTCCCTTATCGAGGGCTAAAATCTACAATAGCTACCTGTAACTTCCTGGAACTGTTGCCGAAAAACTGGCTATTAAATGAGCCACCCAAATATCAGGTCGTCGATGGGCGGCAGAGGTCTGAATGTGATGGTTCTATTAAAGTATATATATATATATAACATTCGTATGCAGTACTCGATAAGCAATGGCGGCAGAAGAATCTGTCTTTCTCTTTGTAGTAATTAGCTAGCCATCTTTGTATAAATCTTTTTCTATACTCTGTTTATCGTACGTGCACATTTGCTCTTACATGATTCGAATCCCGGTATCCTCTCTTTGAAGTGCCCATTGTTACACTCTTCTGCTGCGCATATCACCATATATGTTGATTTAAGCACTGGACTATTTCTGCGTGTCAAAGCTAAAGTAAGCTGACCACTACCAGAATAAAAGGCCCATAACATCACTAAACTCTGTCGGAAACAATAATCATTTCCTACAGAAAATAAACCTTAAAAATAAACATTTGCGCTTACGAAGAACCTAAGGCTACTCCGGCTTTAGTGTATATATATATATATATATATATATATATACCAAACGTACATATTAAACAATGGACATAATTTTTGAAAAATTTAAATATGTTGGATAGGGGATAGTATATTTACTTCTTTCCCTGCATACACTGTCACGTCATTAAATCGTAATAGAATGAGTAAATTAAACGTGGCTCCTTGCTGAATAATCAACTCGTCGACAACGCAGGGGGTGACCTCTTTACTTTACACATGAGGAATTATTGCTTTATAAATCCAGGTAGATATCTACTATGTGGAAAAGATTTTCAGGACGGCTTAAAACAATTAGTCGATCGAACCTTTTTCTTAACTGTATATACGGATTAATTCAACTATGTACTTGCTACTAGAAATTTGCTGTTCCAAAAGTAAGGTATAAAATTAGGACTTTTCAGTCTTATCTTTTCTTCCTTTCAGGACCGCCCTTTTGAAAGCTTTGACCATTGGTTACCAAAAACATTTGAAAACATCGCTTTATGTTGTTTTATGGAGGAATTCCTCACTTTATATTACTAGATAAATTGGATAAATTCTCGTTTATGGCATTTCGTATTTATAACGAGTATGGACTAGGCGACTTTATACACAACGGAAAACTACTTAATATAGCTTTTATGATTATTATGTCGGTATTGGTGTAATACCCGTAGCAGTGGTAATAATAATAGTAAGAGGCACGTAATAATCGAAGTAATTGATAAGATGGCTACATAAAAGACCACTGACGATATGCCAATTCATATAAAAGATAACAGCGCGCACGTTTCACTTAAAATTGAACATTTTATTTATATAACTATTTATAGGTCATGATATTTAACGCTATATACAAGGCAAGGGCAATCTCAAAAGGAACGTTAAGCCCTAAGTACACCGCTCTTTGCGCAACTTGTTTGCAATCAACAGAAGCTGTTGGTTGGCATTAACCTCAATAAAGTTCTCTTTAGTATTTGATTTGACGGGATTTTGCAGTCATTTTTCTCCAACGCAAATGAATATCCTCTTCATCTGAAGTTCAGGTTGTGGCCGACCTATCAAAAACAGAAAATGTTGAAAGAAATTTTGTAGATGCCATCCGTTGAACCGCCTCCATCCTGCAGAAATCTTAACTATATACAAAAATTCAGTCTTGCGTCTCATCGATTGTCTTGGAGGCGTGCCTCAGACAATACTGACGGTACCTCGGCGATTAACACTCGATTTCAGCTAGCCACGAACGCACTGTTACTAGCAGTTAAATCATTGAAAGAAAGAAGAGGTACATGGCTTCGTTCGGATTAACCTCTTCGGTTTCATTGTCGATCAAGCATGACCCATCACATATCTGCATTTAATATTGTAGTTACTTTCAACATGATACTTTATGCGGTAGACATATTGGACAATTAACAACAGTCGGTTAAAGATTCCCGGATTAATATATTTAGAACGCAATCTAAATGGACAGCCCTCATTCGCAAGCAACAATGTTTTTTTTATTCAGATATCGAAACGAAAAGGAACTTACAGGTATCGCCCATGTGTTCAAACTAGGACTTCGCATACAACTGATTTAGCTCAGGCTTGATCGATGAGCTGATAAGTGAGGTCCTACTATTTCGGCGTCAATCGCGACACGCCGTAATATTCATTAAACTTGCAAACAATTCAAAAATGTCAAAGCGAACGTATATCTACGATATTCGTCAGTCGATATTCAACCAGAACCTGAGAAGGGCATTAAGGCAGGGCACGTAAGGTGGATTTTGTCTTCTAGCTATAGAATTTAGGGGCCAGAAGACTCGATCGTTCTTATTTGGCGACCACTGAAATAAACAGTCATGAGCTAGCTATTCAGGTATGAACGCCTCGTCTAGACCTTAGCAACGAAAGCTTTCCACGACTGGTGTCGACTCATTTATGTCCCTCCTACGAAAGATGATCCGTCCCTTTTGGCACAATACACTTCACGGCCTACGAACGTTGACTCCTACATTTCTTCATAGGTTGAAAAAAAACAACATATATTGGCTATTCTCTACTAGTATCGTAGAATAGGTAGATCTATGAGTCCTGTTGAATATCAGGGGACATCTCCAGGTACTCAGGACATCCTCTCATACACCGCCCAATCATAGGACTGTGTTCGAAAACGTTCAGAGGAAAATCTGGTCTGATCAAACCTAATCAAATACAATAGCAGCTATGACCGATATCCTATAGTCGGCTACTGACGCTTGCCAATATGAAGACACTACGTACACTTAAATTTGTAACTAATTAACCAGTAGAAAGTTAGGGTTATGTAAATTTTATGAAATAATATCTTAAGTAATTTTTCACTTTGATTTGTGGTAACGGTGATACGAACGGACATGGCAGTTTTAATAGGTTAATTCTACCCTCGTTTGCAATTGATAGGTCGGCTGGATTGAGTTGGCTGTCCTCGCGTGCGTGTACCCTTTAAACAAGTTTCACAGTTGCTAGATAGTTGAACGTGACCATTTTTTTGCCCCGAAGAGATTCCTTCGGACTGTGATGCGCCTCGTTGTCGCTTCCGGACGATTCCTCCTGTGAGCTGAGCGATGAAGTCCGAAGTACAGACCGCTTTTTACCGCTGTAGTCTGGCGGAGGTGGCGCAACTAGGCGCCTCTGTGTCGGGGGCGCGGCAATCATTGGTGGATGATACTTCGGATAGAAGTCCTGATAAAAGATGGGTCGAGCTATCCACGATGGTATGGCCATCCAGGAAAACCACTGTGGGAGAGGAACCACGGGTCCCGCAATCCGCGTTGTACCATGAACATGTTCAGCGAGCTGTTGCCTCATAACCATGGCGGGTTTCCGCTTGAGTTTGTTACCTTTCTTTTTGGTTTCAGCAACAATTTTCGGCACGTCACTCGCGAGCACCTCGCTCCGGTACTGATAGGCGATAAGGTCCTGAGGGACGGGCGCGAGCGACAGAATGTGCTGTCCTGAGTTCTTCACTGTCTTCGAGCCCTTGCCGGCCGCCTTGCTTAGCGAGGCTTTTTTCTGGTTGAAAAGCATCACCACACTCAGTGGCTTGTCAGGGACGGGTGGCGGGACCATAGGACAAATTTTGCCATTCTGACTACGCTGCAGCTCAAGTCCAACATCATAGATGTCTCGTCTCGAGACGAGCAATCTCGAGTTGGTTTTCGAGCTCAATGATTGTGCGGAAAGAACATTATGGTTTTTGCAGTCTTTTACCAACTTTTTGTTTCTGGCGTTATTCTTTTCGAGCAAATGCTGTTTTTCGTTCGCAGCTTGCAGTGCTGTCTTCCGAAAGTCGGTAGACACCGACGACAAACTGGAAAGCTGCACCGCTTCTTCTGTCGTAGCTGTTCGCCAGACAAGAACGTTTCTTACTTCGTCATCCGAAGTGAGGTAAATATCGCCCTCGAATACGTCGAGAAAAACCAGTACTACTACGCGTGATTCTTCTTTGCAGTGGAGAGCTCTCATCAGCTGGCCATGACTCACTACGGGAGCACGTACTGATCCTGTAGCGCCAAAAGGTTCCGCGCGGGTCTTTATGCACAATCCGTTTGAACCGGACGATCCCTCTACGACGAGATAATGCAGTGGGCCCTCGTGCGTTTTCCGCGCATATCGAACGGCCAAAGCGATGCACTCCTGTTCGGACATGTGTGGAGAATTTACCCCGGTTGAAACTTGGGCCAACAACTCGACCCTGTAAGTGTTTGTACGATTCCACATGACCAAAGCTAGGGTTCTATGACAGTACGATGAAGCGTCGAATACTATATAGAGCGTGTTATCTGCTACACGTACTGCTACCAATAGCTAAGCAAGATACAGGTTGGTATGATTTGTTGAGGATGATGACGGGCGACAATTACGATGTTGATGAAGATGAGGGCATCAATATCCAGTTTAGCAAAAAATAGAACAAAAATCAGAAATTCTCACAGCAATGCACCGAACACACTTTGGCGTAAAAATATCCGACATTTACTATCACGACCGATCACTCAGTTACATATACGTGTACGTGTATCCGCTTTACAGGATCGGCTGTATTTAATGTCCTGTCGTTGACTGTCGACTATAAGAGAGCAAGCTTATATCCAGTGGTTACACGAGTGCTTAATATTCACCCAATTGTATTTCACTGCGGTATTATTATTGTTTTTATTATTAATCCATGAGCGATTAATCCCCGTTAAGCAGTAAACTTTTCTCATCGACGACCAACGTCACAGTTCTATTGATGACCAGCTATCGGTCCGCACTGCAGCTCAGCGCCTGTCAATCCGGACGACGTTTAGCGACCACACCAGTATAATATACCATCCACTCACTACATTATGAATCACTGGACATCAGACGCCTAACGCACCGTCTTATTACGTCTATCGTTAGTGGAGCCTGTTGATGATGTTATTGCTGCAGCAGTTGTTTTGTTCATAGTGATCGCCGTGCACAACAGTCAGCCATGTCGTATCAGCTGATCGACTGTTTCCAACGGAATGACGCTCGGCCTAGTCGGGTTGTTGGTTTCGTTTTCAGTTCGACGGTAAGCACGCCAAACGCAAAGACGAAAACGTCGAAACACAGGCGCCGCTGAAGCCATGCTATCAGCCCGTTACGGTAGACCTGCTGCTGCGGCAGCGGCTGCGGCGGCCGCCGATTCGGGCAAGCGGTGTCTCGCTCGAAACCCTCGTAGCAGCAGCCAGCAGCCGTCCACCCCCTCCCCCCTCCTCCACTATGTTGTTCTCACCCCTCAAAGTCGCTGACTAGAAGCAGAGCAATTATCGTCTTCCTCTTATTTTCCCCCTCCGCCTGCTCCTCCTTCTTTCTAACGGAACGTTGTGTCTGTGTATCAGTGTGATTCGCGCGTGTTTATCACTCTTTCCCTCTCTGACCATAGCATAACACGCCTTTCACGGTGGATGGATAATAATTCAGACAGCACAATAACAACAGCATCGACAGAATCAACAGCAACCGTTGCCTCCGGTAGTTGGCCGTTTCTCACTCCCCGAAGTCACCCCTTTCGTCCCAGGCCTGATCATCATATTCGTCCGCTACAGGCTTCCTATGAATTCCCAGCGGGCATCGACGGTGGCGATGGCGATCGTGGCAGGGGGCGACGGCGACGCCAGCTGAAGCACCACAATTGTGAGGTGGGGTAGTCGAACGATGGTTGAGCATCTATTGCAAACAGTGTAGGATAGTCGTTGGTCTTCACCCCTCTTCACCATGTTCGCTCCCTTTTAACGCTACGCAGCAACAATCATTGAGGCAATCTTCATCATTGCTGTCGCTGCTGCTTCTGCTGTTATCAAGTAAACGCCATTACCACGAGCACTACTCGTACTACGTTCATCCTCATTTTCAGCTTTACTATCACCGCCATAATCAGCGTCGCCGCGAGCAGTCGCATCGCCATCACTATGGGAAAATGCTGAGCGTAACGGTTCACGACTGCTGGCACTACCCTCTCGTAGCCCTTTCTCTCAATCGCTCCGTCCAGCTGATCATCCGCGATGCTCGACTCGCCCTGTCGTTGCGGTTCCGTTGACCCAGTGGCAAACGGTAAAGGTAGTCGCCGGTGAGGTTTAGCTGAGCAATCCGTCGTTCTTGGTTGTAAGCGGCTCACTAAAGCAGATCTGATTCCTCTTTGTCGTAACCGTTCCAAAGGCGTGAGAAGAATAGCCGTTGGCGGTGTTGACATTTTCGGCGAACTTGTAACAGAATAGTTTGTTGAACGACCTAAATGTTACGTGTGTTAATAATAGTTCGTTTCGTTGGTCAGCAATCTACATATCGCTATACAAATATGTTCAAATCCGTAACCTTTGTAAAGGTCTTCCACTAGTCAGGGCCTGTCTTCTAAACGATAACGCTTCTCCAATCGTTCCTGGACTGTCGATCTTCGCTGGACATGACTGAGTGAGTCGTCCAAGATAGGTAGAGGAATAGAAACAATTCACAAACATTAGTACTACTGCTAATTAATGTTTTAGTAATCTTTCTTCATACAGGGCTTGCCCCAGGAGCACCTACATGTCGTAGTCGATTGCTAGCTTCAGAATAGAGTAGTTCGATCATAGTTGAAATCCGGTCACTACCCAGCAAACCCGATCGCTACAGCTTCCGGAAGCAAACAACCTAGAACTAAAAGCCTGAATCAAGGCCTCGGATGTAACAACTGCGGATTTGCTACATGTAACAGGAGCAGCGTGATAGATCACAGAACTGAAATAATCGGGTAGAAGGAGCGATGGCCTACGATGACAAGAGCCGGTGGAAACAAAAAATCGTCTTCTTTATTAAACAGGACATCTACCGCATGCTTAAATAGGTGGATTTTCGTTAATAATGCCTACTGCTATGTATTCATAAAGGTGGATCAGAAAACAAAAGACGGTTGAGGAGGCCAAGTAGGAAAATGAAGGAGCGAAGCCTAATGATGATACAGATCTTACGGAGATCTAAAGCTGCGAACGATTTTGTCTAGTGAAGAAATGGCGTGGAAGACCAAGCGCCAAGATATTTGGCAAACTTGTCTTGGCTTTGTCTGCCAATGAATATTGTTTTGGTGCATTGACTGTGAAATGGACTAGTAGTAATAATAATGCTTAATGAATGACGATGGTGGACTAGACTCGTTCCCAGTGCCGACTGATGAGTCACCTTCGTCCGCTTGTCGTCACAATGGAAAAATCATACGTGACATCCTTATCGGCCAACAAATCCCTTCACCAACAAATCTTGCTTCGTTAATTATCCATATGTATATATCATCAATTATTGCTTGCTTACTAGACATTGGGTGTCTACAAATCACTGTTGATACTATAGTATTACACAATAGTAACAATAACTCTAATTATTCTGACTGGCGCATTAACATATAATGTTGAGCACTAAAAGAGTCTTACGCAGTTCGAAAAGTAAACGAATGAGAATCGTCTATTTTTATAGATAGCATCATTAAGTTACGGTTATGGCTGTATATTTCACCGCCATTGCACCAGGGCAGGGCATGTTTCCTTGGATGAAAAAATACCGGCGATGACGGGGAGTACCTTGTGCGATGGGTACCGCAACTGTTTGTTAGAAGAACACGAACAGAGGCAAAAAAGAAATCCTTTTTCCTAATTTCAGGAATTATGCATGCCAAGTCCTAAAAGGATCTGAAGGCATTAGTTTGTGCCCCTAGTTAGTTTGTGAAGCACTTCGACTGAGAAACACTTCGATATGTATACAATTCGACAACGACGTTTCAAGTTCTTTATTTTGACTTCGATTAACAGATTTTAAATGATACATCGTAACGTGCGTATACGCCAGATGCGCGATAATTAATCTACTGTTTTTTTGAAAAATATCCTTCCTTATCCTTATGCAACATTAAATAGAATTTGGAAAAAAATAGAGGCTAATACGTGGGGCGGCCCACGACTGCGGCTTTTATCGCAGACACCCCTTAGACTTATATAAGCAAACTGTTATCGTGTTTAGCTGTCGTGAAAAGGCGATCTTCTACTGCCCAATTGATAGGCCCCAGTCCCTAGAAAACATACATATAATTTCTAGGCCATTCACTAGTATATTAGCAAGATAACTCCGAACTTAATATTGAGGCTGTAAATAGAACCCGTACACTTATATACTTCGAACAATATTAGGACTGCATCGATTTTTGTTATTAATTCTATAAAACTATTATTAAAGAAATACTTACCGGTCACTTGGTGGATTTCCTAGGTCCCAAAATACTTGACCTATATATATATATATATATATATATATACAACGTTTGCAATCATCAACAGCGCTAATGTCTAGCTTAGCCTACTTACCTCTGTTTTCATAGAGCCATGGTATGGCACCGCCAACAAAAACCGACACGATATTCTTCTCTAACCTCAATCAATTGATAGCACCGCTATACTTTTCCTTCTTTCTGATGTGATTTGTCAAATTTGAAATTTATTCACGCAATGATACAATGAATGCCGCCGTTGCTGCCCCATCACCACCATCTTCTTATTGTTACTGCCATAGTAGCACACATCGGAAGGGGGCAGGAAACCTGTGGCCGGCGAAATATTAGTAGATTTCGCGAAGCGACGTTTATTCATCTGTCCGACCCCCCGAATCGCTCACCATCCCCCATCCCCCATCCCGTCCGCCGCCGCCTACCCGATGCCCGATGCTCAAAAGCAAAAGAAACGATGTTTGTGTGCCGCGAGTTTCACAAGGGCTCGCACGCATATTGACAACGACAGCAGTGCGGTTGTTCTCTCGCATTACCCCTAGCTGCAGCCTGTTTTTCCTTTGAATGGTTCCGATACAACGACCACAACGGAACGATAGCGCCGGTGGACAATCTGTTGATAAAAACGAAATATACGAAAATTTCTTTTTGGATTCGCTGAATATTAGAATAGACTTACCAAAAGCTGTCGGCCACGGCATACGTCCAGTGTGCGTCTCCGTCTTGAGCGATTCCGTCGTCGAGTTCAGCTTGCCGACAATGTTCGCCCGCTGTTTATTTATACGCAGGAAATATCGCTTCTCTATTCGCTGCTTAGACTATTACTATAATGTATTAGTAGAACTAGTATATGGTTATTCCTTAGCTTCGGAAGAGTCGCACTATTCATTAGCAACGAAGCTGTGGCTGTTAATATGATTTTTGTTGCTACAAGAGACGCAAAGCACTGAAATTTTTCATACATTGAGACTTTGTCAGATAGGAAGTTCCGCTATACGACCGCAATGGCTTACGCTGCTGGTCGATAGACCACGGAAAGCGGCCACCCCTACGAATCCATAGCGGGATCGGTCTTTTTTCTTGTTCCCCTAGCCACCCTACCTGTTCGGTTAGTACCCCTCTGGTGACGAAGTTCATTTAACGATCATCCTAGAGATTAGTACAGGATGCGATTAACCTGCCTATGTTGTGTTGCCGCTATCTTGATGCTGCCACGCTTTTAAGCGTGATCTGGGGCAAAAATAACAAAATAAATACAAAAGTATTGCGATCATGCGTCTAATGGTATCACTGAATTTCTGCATCACGCCTTGCCCCTCCCCCAGCTTCACCTATTCCTCTGTTTTTCGTTTGCGCTTAAACTTCGACCCGGTATTAGAAAAACGCGTGCATCAGTAGCAGTTAATGTTCGCACCTCTTCCGTTAGCTGCACTTATATGACAATTAGTGAATGCTCTGTTATGGGTTGGTTAGGTCACCTTCGCAAGAAGAGCCGAGGAAGCTAATGCGAGATTCTTCCTCGACGCGAGTCACACGGACACATCCATTCGTATAGGAACGACATCAACGAGATGAGCATCTGGGGAGCGTTCTAACATCGAGCGTAACGCCGTCTCCTGCTCGTGCTGTTTCGTCGAAAGAAACAGCTTTCGCAATCGTCTGCTAACTGACGCCACCTGTCACGCAACGACCAGTTGGCTGTCGTTGTCGACAATTGGCGTTTATCCGCTCGAAACAACCACTGCGGTTGGCACAACTGTAATCTTTCCATACGCTTTTCACACGCTGCTGTGTTTTCCTTCCCTGTTTTTATATAT